TACCGGTTGGTTTTTTACTCAAATCAGTGTGCAGAACTGGTTCTCTAGTTTTTGTTTTTTTTTTTTTTGGTTAAGGTTGTCTACTCATTTTTTCCTTCATGCCTAATGGAAACATGATAGAACAAATTTAACTACACAGGCTATTCTTATGTAATTTTAAAACCATTTTTCATCTCCATCAATCACCAGAGATATCAAGAAGCCCATAAAAATGTTTCAGTTTGTTATGTTTATCTCTTTGCTATTGTCGTTTAGGGTAAACATTATCTGTTGGAATGTTTCCTATTGGGAATAGCACACCATCTTATCAATGTCGGCCAGAATCCACAACTATAAGTGTCAAATTTGTTTACTCTCTAATTCATTCTTTGACAATGTAATGTTCCAATTGAGGGAGCATGACTCTCTTCCGCCATGAACATTGAAATAGATATTTTATCTTAATATGTATCTTTTGGAAAGATAATCACACACCTTGAACCTTTTTGCATTTTCATCCATGTCGTGTTGATTGATTCTATAACTATTGCATAAAGAATTTCATATGGAACTGGAAAAATGCTCTTCCATCAGATTTGATAGAGGGGAATGTATTGTTCCAATTCTATGGAATTCATATGATGTTAATATTTTCTTTTCTAATAAAACATAATCTTTTCATAGTTGAGATAAAATTTGGATTTGCAAATAAATTCCATCAATTTTCTAGATTTGTTTCAAATATAGCTAAAGATGAACATCTAGAAAATGCAAAGTTTAGAGCTCTGCTGGTGATGGCAGAGTGATTTCTCTTCTGAAAGCTCATGAGGTAACTTCATGGACTCTTTAATTCATAGTTGTTTTTTGTCCTCACTTTTCTATGATCTGCATAATCTGCAGGTATATGTCATCTACCCTCCTAAAAGTTGCTAGTGAGCACAGCTCTGTCGTGGCAATAGTTGGAAAAGGGCACCTACAAGGAATCAAGAAGTATTGGAAGCAGCCTGTAACAGTCAGTGAACATTTTCCTATCCTACTTACTTTGCTTTGTATTTCCTTAGTAAATCACACTTCCTGAAGTGAACCACAAGCACTTTTCTCACTATTTTACCAATCTGGTCCAATGGAACTTATAGATTTGCTTGTTTTGTACTGAAGAAACTTCATTGGCTGGACATCAATTTTCCTGCTTGATCAGTGTTTTGTTCACTTTGTTGCAGCTGCAAGAGCTGATGACGATTCCTTCCCAGAAGCCAGCTCATTCTACTATGAAGATTCTTACATCTCTAGGTGCTGCAGTTGCTGGGGTGGCCATTTTATCGGGTATTTACCTTGCATGCAAGAAATAGTTTGGTTAGATAATTGTTTCCGGAGAGAGGTAGCTGCAATGGGAAATTGCTCGTGCAATGAGATGTCCAGGGGGATCTCACACCCAGGAATGTGATGGTAATGAAGGCAATGAAGTGAATGTGCTTGGCCAAAAACTCTTTCTCTGTTTCTCTCTTTGAACTTACTATTCTGCTTCAAAGAAGCCAATGACAAACAAAAAAGAAAGGTTAGGCCAAGGATTTCAGCCATTTACTCATGGAATTTTGTATAAAAACCATTTTTTACTTCCTTTTCTCCTTATCATTTGAGTTTTTAAAAGAATCTGGATTTGTTGGATGGTGTCCTCTGAAAATAAAAAATTGTTAGGAAATCAAGATTCCTTATTGAATGTTCTGTGGCTGAAAAAAAAACCATAGAATTCAACAAGAAATTCTCACTTTAGTTCAATTAGAAAATCCACACTGAGGTTCAACTAATAAGAGATGCAAATTCTTTTAAAATGAAAAGTTGAGCAATAGATTTTAGATTCTATTTAGTTAATGAAATCCGAATGTCTACATTTCTATTAATTTTCAAACACAATACAAAGAACACAATGTGCAATAAAAACATATTTAAAGATTCGGGATGCAATATAATTTCTATGAACCACATATATATTTTAAAAGTATTTATTTTAGTTCTTAATGAAAAATACTTTCAGTTACATTGTTATTTATTACTTGCTATTTTATATTTAAGAAAAGCCGTCCAATTTAATTTTTAAAAAATAAATACAAATTCCAATGATTTAGTATTAATCTAAAACACCAATATATGATTTCAATATTTCTCCATATTTTATCCCTAACAAAAAAAATATATATATTCTCTCCATATTTTGTTTCACAAACAAATTGTCCCTTCACCATAAAAATTCTTGCGAAGGCCTAAGCTTTTCGAGAACTAACAAAATAATCATCTTGTCAATGTGCTTAGCTGGTTTATTCCGAGAATTGACAATTGAAAATTCATCTTCCCATGTGCACTTTCTTTTTTTTTTTTTTTTTTTTTTCCATCTATGCAGTATGCAGTAGCTAAATTTCCTAGTGTTAATGATGCAGCACACTCTGCATTTCAAGAAATATTTCAGTCTCCATACCCAGATGTTGCAGGTTCTTTCAGAATGTTTCGACTTCCGAGCAAGACTGTCTATGGAGCTATAGCACCAAAAGCAAGCGATATCAATTCATTTGATAATAAGAAACCGTCTGGGTCACCGAACCGAATATAAGCAATCCCTTGCGTGATCTTGCCTTCACTTGATAGCAAGCTACTGAAGTGATCAGCAGATACATTTGTTCTCTGCTCATCCAAGCAAACGGCATGCCCACTTTCTACATAAA